AGCGTTGGAGTACTGGATGTGCTATAGGCTAAGGCATTTTTATTTTTAGTAAAGCTAGAAACGGGGGTAGGGATCTTTATTTGACCTAAACTTGTGCATGTACCAAGTGTGCTTAGTGGATGCGGGTGAGCTAGACTGTTCCTACATTCATGCAAAGGGGGAGCCAGCACTAGTGGTTTAGGAGTGTTAGCATCCCTACCAGCTGTTTTTTCAACGCTGACAGGGACGCAGGGGATAAAAAATGATTGGGACCTTGTGAAGACCATGGTCTATTATTCCACCTATTTTTAGGTACTACTGGTGTCCTTGTAAGGGTTTCGAATGTACTGCTTTGTGGGTTAGTTCCCAGCAGACTTGTACCGTATATCCGATCAAAATTTATTAGCGTGCCATACTGTGAATGCCCTGAGTTGTTGGTGGTGGAGTTCTGACTATTGTCACTTGTACTCTTGAGGGTGGCATTGTTTGGGCGTTGGTTATCAGTGTGGGCCGTGGTGCTATTTCGCACGTTGTGGGTGCCAATACTATTGACCGTGGGGAATGTGGGCTTACTTATACTGCCATTGTTGTTGTTGGCATGATTTTGGGTCATATCCTTCTCTTTTCTACCAATGGACTTATGGCTAGGAGAGGAAAGGGTCAACTTTCGGGGGATTTTGACTTCTTTTCTTGGATTATTTAGTGACATGTCTAAATCTACGGTGGTAGGTGGTATAGTTTTATTGGCTATTTGATTACAATTTAGCGGCCTTTCGGTTGGTGTCGCTCTCTGAGAAGATAATTCTGTGTGGTTAGAGAGGGGTGGTGCGGTGGATTCTACGGTATCTCTCAAAGGGTTGGGTATAATGGCTGCTTGCAATGTCCTATTGTTTATTCCACAATTAGACTCATTGTGATAACTATATACGCGCCTTTCTATGACGGTCTTGTCCACCGCAACCTTTATTAGTTTGTCATTTCTGGCTTGCGATAGGGTGTGTTGCGAGTGAATGAACTTTCTGGCCTCTGCCTGTGTTTCGAACTGAAAACGAATAGGACAACACTTTTCATGTTGACTCTTCTTCAGCCTGTAGCACTTAGTCTTGGAGTTGGGCATTTTCGCCTCACTAAGTAGGATGCGCTGTACCCTTTTTAGTGCCTCATTGTCCGGAACGTTGTAGACAATAGCATTTAGTTTAGCGTCGAGTCGTTTTGTTACTTCTGTAATAACAAAGTTAATGAGGTTATCCACCTTAGATACCGATTCCGTGTCAAGTTTGTTAAGGTCTACAGTTCTCACGAGGATAGTTAAAGGTGTCAGTTCACAGACCTGCGATCTGATATCGCTGATCTGATGTGATAACTTGGATATTTTGGTATGGGTATCAGAAATTCCTGGATTTACTGACTTATTGTTTTTTATTTCCCTTAACTCGGCCTTAAGTTCTCCTATAGATAACTTTAGGAGTTCTATTTCTGAAGATAGTACTGAAACAGAGCTTGAAGGCTGGAGCTTTTCGATAAGTACATGAGGTGAAGGGAGGGTTTCTGTATGAGCAGAGGATACTGAATTTTTGGGAGTAGTGCTAATACTAGCTGTCAGTGCAGTTTTATCCTCAGTTTCAGCTCGACGCTTACGACTTACAAGTGAGTTTTGTGGCTCACTATAACCATTTGTAGGAAGTATGTTGCTTGATGTAGCAATCAACGACTTAAAATTAGTCATCAGTTTTACAGGGGATTGAGTTCGCTGCTTTTTACTTTGGTTAACCATAACTATTTGACATGAGAGTTAATAGTTATAGGTATGGAAGTAGTAGAGGACTTGTGCAACGATTACAACAAGATAAATTTTATGTAACGAATCACGCAAAAATGTAACGCAAACGTTGGACGTACCGCTTTCGCGTGTTTTCATTATTGCCACAGCTTGTCACAGTTATTTCGTAAAAAACAGGATATTATACCACGTGACTGAGGAATATCGAGAAAGGAAATATTGGACGTATAAGCGCGACTCAAAGAGTGAATAGGGACCCACGAGATTGCAGTCACTGATAGACAGCGAAAAAGCCAAGCAATGTAAAAACAGTAAAAAACCATTAGAATAGTTATATGTTACATTCATACTCATCACAGATCTTCGTGAAGCACGCATTAAAAAACCACTCAAAACCATACACAATGGTACCTACCTGCCGGCAGTCAAAAACTCCACTGATTACCGCTATTTTAGCCAATGAAACAGGGGCAACACGGAAGCAAGGTAAATATGGGACGTGGTAGCGTTCATCCTCATTCCTGAACGCTTAAGCTGATTAAAACGTAGAAAACAGCCTCGAAACCAGTTGTATCTTCATCTTGTATACAAAAGACATCTTCACTACGACCATCAGAGCAAAGTTGGAGACACTAAGTAGTATTTCTGAGGAAACTTTCTCGAAGAAAACTGCAGCCGTTTGGAAGTGATGTTCAAAGAGGCGTACATAGCCGTTTCAGGAAGAAAGAAGAGGCCAGCTAATGAATGAATCTTTACAGACACCTGAAAGCTCTTATATTTTATCAGTTTTAGGCTCTGCCTGTGCACTCTTACTTATAGTAATTAATTCACCATCATAAATCTAAAAGTTCCCTTCCACCAAGTTTTATTCACATTTGCAAAGTGGATACTCAAAATGTTTGCTTCTCGTCTAATAACACTTCTCACCGCATCAAGTTTCAAACACTTACTATCATAATGTCGTCGCCGAATAAGTTATTTTTATTCTTGGAAAGCACTCCTGAGTAGCTGTACCAATTATACCACCGCCTCGTCATTCAGTGATAGACTACTGAACGTTTTCTGCAAATGTAAATAGGATTGTACAGCATATGAATATGATTTTGTCAACGGAGAGAATTTTCTTCACAGAATTGTCTTTAGTTTACCTTATGTGATGGTATTAATTAGCTACTGGGATACAAAACTCCTAGCTTGGTGACCCCATTGTAAGATGGACTGATAGAATTCATTCATCACTAAGAACTGGGCACATGACAGTGGTATTTCCTTAAAGACTGTCTAGGAAACCAGGCAGTTACGCTGCTTAAGGAACTTCAGGCCCATTTCCAGTCGGCATTAACCAGAAAAATGCTCATGAATGTTGTGTGGCCGTGTGTCTCGCCAGACCAGGACTCTGAACAAAACACCTACTGACTCTCCAGACTCATCTACCTAACCTGATTGTCAGGCTGCTCTTACCACCAGCGCAGTTAGTAAGGGGAGAAATCAGTACTTACAGATGCTCAAGGATGTGCTTGTTAAATGTGGTGTGAGGAGAGTATAGAGATACATGAGCAGGCAACAGCGTGGCAGTTGCGCTCCAGTTCCACGAGAACCCAATTGATCGCTGAGAGTGAAATGGCTGTGGCTTGATTGAGCTGACGAACTCCCTTGATGCCCCAACACCTGATGACTGTATCCACCACAGTCCTACTGGACTGTAGAACCTCACCCCTAGGATACCGGTTTCATCAATGCGGTCACAGGTGATGCGTTTATACAGTAGATTAATTTATCAAGGTATTCATTTCCGATGTGTAAAACACATTAATAGTTTAAGAAAGTGCAATATTTAATTATTGTATATGGTAATTTTAAAAGTGTATGCAAGTTGTAGTCCCTCATTTTCCTACATTTTCTAAGTGGAAGTAGATTCACTTATAATCAGCGATGTCCTTGACAGCCAGTTCTATTAAAACTATCGAATTTGGAGATATTAAAATTTCAATAACAAAATCCGAGGTCTTATATAGCAAAACCTCGTAAAAGAGCTAACTTCAAGCGTTGCTTTCTATCCAGGCGTCTGGATATATATTTTCTGTGATACTGGCCTTTACCAGTGCGATGGCGGTGCTACTATGTTTCCTAATACACATAATCCAAGAACGTCTCACTTTGTTGACATACTTGGAAAGCAATTCGGATTGAGTTTCTTGGTGAAGATTTGCAGGGAAAAGACTTATTAAAACTGAAGTCACATGATTTTAATAATCACTTACTGATGACTGTAAACTACGTGGCATGCTGTAATAGACATAAATATATTATTATTCAGTGTCGCTTGACTGGCATTGCATCTTGCACTAACTGAGACTGTCGAATACACTTCGTACGTATAAATAAAAAGTTTCATCACTGAATTCGTATGGTTTCCTTCTTAATTCGGGGGATGATCGTTAGAGGGTAAGGATGGCACTGTGATACTATAGTACTATACTATCCTCTAATCAAAATGAATCTATTTGACATACATCAGAAATAATTTGTGAGTTGGACCGGAGAGACAGTTTAATCGTTTAAATTCGAAATATGTTTCGGTATAAGTACTGCTAAACACAGTTAACAAGATATGATGCACCGAAAAAAGAACGTAACACAGCCACAAGACACATATTTTCGTTGACCATTCGACTTAAATTACGAAGAGTAACTCACACTGCTGAACGACTACAAAGCTACGAATTTATAATTTCACATGATTATTTACCATCACAGCATATGTATCACGATTAGACGGATGTTTTGTGTAATTATGGTTTCTAGCACTGTTGTTAGTGGATGTCTGAAAGTCTTGCCTTCATCAAGGGGAATAAGAAAGCTGCCAAAATAACTAATCATGCGAAATGAATACCCTATTTGAAACCCCAGCTTTAAGGGGCTTGTCGATGCCTTCGCTGTGATGTGTAATCATCGAACGCTGGAATAAGTCAATAAGATCACGGGTCACGAGAAGACAAGATTCGGCAACGATCGTATAATGTTCGCTGCTGTACCTTGAAATGACGCCCGGTTTACATAACTGAACAAATAATCGGAGAATGAAAGCATTTCAGATAACAAAATATACTTGCATCGTTAGAAGTATTATAAAACGTGTAATTCGAGTTGAATCATAATTAAATCTATGCAATTAGGTCTTTTTCTGTCGTCCGTTGATAAACAATTGTTTAAGTGCGTTAATATTTCGAATCGTTATAGTGACCAAGGTAGCAAGTTTTAAAATATGTGCAGCAATGTAGAATTACAAAAGTTAACTTTAAATAGGGTCACTGATGACCCTAGTATTGATGCACATACAGGTTATCCTAGAATTGATCGGTCTAATGATAGATCAACGGATTACAATGGGCGAAACGCGAATAAATTGCCGGTTAGTATAATTCAAATTATAAATTTGACAGATGACAGAAGCTAGCCTTTGTTTCTCTGGACTGAAATCTTCTGTCTGCTCGGATTTATTTTATGGTTGATTATTCTGTAAATAATACAATAGCATGACCTTCACTAGTTAAGTGCGAAGTACATATATACCCAGTCGGTTAATGCACGTGGGCAATGTGGGCAAAACGTGGGATAAACGGGTAGTTTTGATGGGCAAAAAGGTGGGCAAAAGATGGTGTAAATGCAACCAATTTTACCCACTTTGCCCACATAACCCATTTTCTCCCCTTTTGCCCATATGCGTAGAAATGTTTTTCTCCCACTTTTGCCTTGTTTTCCCACGTGACCCACGTTGAAAATAGCCCACGATTACCCACTTTGCCCATGTCATTTTTGAAAATAGCCCACTTCTTCCCACTTTACCCATGTTACAAACGACAAAGTGCCCACGTTTTTACCCACATATCCCAGGTCCAAAAAAAAATTAACCGACTGGGTATGTATATATATATGCCCTGCGAATCAGTTAGCAGGCAGTTTAGCAGTTTTCAGTGTCACTGTGAAGTCACTGTAGAAATTATTAGGGATTTTTGATGGAAATCTTTCTCGGAAAGTATTTGAAATCACCAATTGGTAAGCATTAATGCTTACAATAATTCTACACCATTTCTAACCTGTGTCGATGATGCCTTTGCATGGTAGACAAAACTTTCATCCACCTGGGGTGAACTAAGTGTACCAAAATAACGCTGTTGCCCAGCAAGCAATGATTTCGGGCGCATTGCAGACTTCGGGTCAAATACTCAAGATCTGCAATGCGCCCGAAGTTTTTTGCCCCGAAAAGTCTGCAGCGCGCCAGAAGAAAATGCTAGCTGGGTGGTTCTTAAAAAGGGCACTGAACGCCTAATTAATCCGACGAAACCTTAAAAATAGGATTTGCAGCTAAAATAATGCCCTTAGTGCTGAAATAAAACTGAAAATTTTGCCACTATGCGCTGAAATAAGTCTTTTGTTCTGAACTAATACCAGTAAGAGTGCTGAGTCTGCACTGAGAGGCAACGCTGATTAGCAAACCCAGTAGGTTCTGAGCTACTTCTGAAAATGCCTAGGAGAAGCACAGGGTGCTGAATTATCGCCAGTCATGGTGAAAACCAGCACTGAGTTCTAGTCTGCGCGCATAACCAAACGATTTCAGAATTTGCTCACTATAGAATGTTAGAATGAGTTCAGAGTTAGTGAAATTTAATTCAGAAATATAGTACACCGGGCAGTTTTTGGTTTTTTAAGGAATTTCGGTATGGTTTTAGGCATAGTTCTGCCCAAAAGCTGATCCCTTAAAACCTCCAGACGTTTCCTTAGGTATATATATATACATATATATATATATATATATATATATATAATGTCGGCCGAACTTCGAAGTTCATCACTTCTACCAAAACCGTGAGAATGCCACCACCTGACTTAGATACTTAGCTTTTAGTGACTATCTCATCTGTATAGCGAATAATACATGGAGAATTTTTCAAATATTTCTGGTATTTTGATGATATGGCCTGTATAATTGAGAGTTATATTAGCATAATGTGTCCTAGGAATAGTATAGTTGTAAAGCTGGTGAATATTGCCTAATGAATTTAACAGATGAAGAATTGTTGATGTATAGGTGAAGATCGGTGTGCTAATACAAGTTATTATACACACAACTCCTATAGTAGGAAATCTTGTAGAATCAACAGGAAGCCAAGTTTCTATTCTGATTTGACTAATAGTAGTCATTAAGTGGGCAGAAAAAATTGCCTTAACGATTATTCATAGTATTTAATCGAACCTTTGAAGGGAGATCGGATTCATTATTAGTAACACAGCTGAAGCCATGTGAATTTGGTGAATAACCGTAGTCTGTGTTTGTGTGTGTGTAAAGAAGTTTATTTTACTGTTGTCCCTTCCATAATCTAAGTAATCTAAACAAATAAATCCGTTACTAAATTTTATCACCCATTTTTATTCTTCACTCCGTCACTACTTTTATCATATTTATTACTGTTTGTTTAATTTATAAGATTTACACAAATAATTCAAGAACTAATTAGTTTCCTCTAACTTTATTTTAGGAACCTGGTGTTCTCTTCTCCAGTGGTAGCACTGCACATGACCATAAAAACCTCTTAGTAAACCGGTATACCAAAACCATTGATAAAAGTAACTTATGCGGAGCTTCACCAGATTTTCATTATGTGGATGAACTTCGATCAAGAGTTCCTAATTCAAAATATAACGGCTCACGTCCTGGAGCATTTTTTCCTTGGCCAAGATACATGGCAGGTGAGTGATTGATTGTCTTGAGTTTTGAATCCCCTCGGTCAGATATCAAGTGTCTACTCTATTGTCCTATAAATTTAATTACGCTTATGCTTTGTTCCACTGAACAAACCAGAAATATCAATCTATAATGCTAAAATAAATTTTAATCACAGCTGTCCAATCTATTTTTATAACACATCTACTATTTAAAATTGACTGAAACCAATAGCCATCTCTACTTGGGAGTACTCCAACATGCTTGGGAGAATGAAGTATTACATGCATTTCCTGCAAAATTATCGTCAAAAAATTGGGACATTTGTTTCCAAAGTCAAGAACCAACTTCATCTTTTGAGGCAGATAGGCATCTAGGAAACCAATTAGTTAGGCGGCTTGGACGACCTCTAACTCGCTTCCAGTTGGTTTTGACTAGAAATAACACTCCTGACTGCTGTCTAGCAATCTATATTGCTGAAACTGATCTGTGGCCACACTACCTGCTGACATTTTACCCTGGTCCACCTAACCTGTTGGTCAGGCCGCTCTTAAAACTGCCCCAACTAGTGAAGGGAGAATTTAGAACTCATTGCTGCCTGAGGGTGTATTTACTGACGATGATTTAAAGAGAGTGCAGAGATACACAATCACACCACAATGAAGTCGTTGAGCTTTCATCCCTGAAAGTCCAGTAGTCCACCCCTTTTTTCAATCTGCACAGATAAACAAAGTGATCGTTGAAAGTTCGAATGATCTGACGAACTTCTTTTATCCTCCGCAAGCTTAAATAACTATGAAGTTAAGATATATTTGTTTTTAGATTGACCTCCATCTCCCGTTGATTGATTATCTGGGCCGAAATACTCGATCTCTATTGACATATCAGATCATAGTACGGACAAATAACTGATATCCACTGCAAAAGTGGTGTTTGTCGTGGCCCTAGTGTCTCAGTAGGTAGTGCTTTGGCGTTTGAGACGATAGGCGCAGGGTTCGAATCTCAATGGGAACACCATTACTCGTTGGAGGATGCTGGTAAATCAAGCTAATGAGTCCTAAATATGACGAGATGCTCAATATGGATTCCACTGCTAGTCACCATTAACCAAAAATAACATCAGGTGAAGACAGAGCTTGTTCATTCATGAAGATTTCATGGTACAGAAACTGATGCTATCTGGTTGAATATTTGTCTGTAATTAAAACATTACTGTTCAGTAATATATATTACATACTTGTCAACAGTAAATTACAAATAAATAAAGAAATTGTCTTTTTCAGAATTAGTGGAATAAGTTTTTATTTGGTCACCTCACCTTAGTTACTATTATTATTATTACTATCATAAATGATTATACTTGAAATGAGATAATTTCCTGTAACGAAAGAGAAAAAGGAAGAAAGAAAGAAAGAGAGCATAGTATGCATGCCGACAGGTCGTATTCTTACTTGAAAGTTAATTCTAGGACATTACCATTTTATTATTATTATTGCTGTTCCCCATGGGTTCCTAGTGGAACATAAGGCTTCAGCAGCACACTTCTGCGGTCTTCCATTTTAGTTGGCTTTACCATCACTCTTAGGCTTTTATTTCCCCTTCACATGATTTCTTCCATTTTACCCTACGACGTTTGTTTATTATTCAGGTTCCACTGGAAGGTTTATGTGGAGCACGATATTCATCTCCATTTCTTTATGCATATTTGTTGAACAATAGGTTACTTGACTGAGTTGCTTATTGTTCAACTTTTCTGGTAGGCCACCAGATCTTCAGTGTTGAGGCAACAAAAGAAGTTGTTTATGAAAGTTTTCAGCTTGTTGGAAATGTTTTTGGTGAGGTGTCCAGCCTCTAAACCATATAAAAGCGCTAACTTGGTGTTAGTGTTGAAAATCCGAATCTTGTTTCTTATGCTGAATGCAGTAGATGTTCACACTGAATTCAGAGTAATGAGTGACTGTCTCTCTTTTCCGACTGTGCCTCTGACACTTGTATTCGTGCCGTGTCTCTGTAGTTGAAATAATGCTACCTAGATGAGTGAAAGAAGTGACCTCCTTTGGATTTCTCCCGTTGATGGAGATTAGTTTTTGCTGTTGATGTTGCTGTTGTTTAGGCATCTTTATCATCTATGTCTTCTCTACGTTCCCTCGTACTCCTATCTTCGCTGCATACCACTTCCGCCAGTTTGTTGGTTTTCGCCTGTAAGTCTTCAAGGGTGTGTGAAACTAGAAATAAATGACCCACAAGATTCAGACTCTTCGTATCGATTCAGCATAATCAAGTCCCCTACAGTTAGGAATATCACGAATAATCGTAGACAGCCTCATCTTATTCCTGTATTCACTTCAAAGGCTTCGCTGAGTTTTCCATTGTGAATCACCTGAAATATGGTGTCGTCACATGGTTGTTGAATAAGGTTGATAAAAGTTTGGGGTACTCTACGGTTTTGGAGCAATTTACAAATTACTTTATGATCGACACTATCTCGAATGTTAAATATACTAGGGCAACAAAGAACGACATTATACTGAATAACTTTTATTGAAGATTGCAATCAGCCAAAACAACCCACTGAAAATGAGGATTAATTTGAAGTCTTGAAGTGTCAATTAATATGAAATATAGTTTCAAACAACAAAATGTATCCATAATTTTGATTAGTTCCAATTACTTTCAACACGTGATAAACTACTGTTGTACGTTTGTATCTTGTTCCACAGAATTTGGATTTCAGTTAAAGCTTCTGAAAATCTATTGAGAAACGAAAATAGTAGTTCCTACTTATCAGTGATCAGTGTAATAAAATCAATTCTTTAGCTCTTTATTCGAATATCCACATAACAAATGTATGACCAGTTAGAAGCTTCATGTCATTTAGGAAGCACTCCATTTTGATATGCGATGTTTGTATTTCAAAAAATCCATATAGAAGATTGTTCATCTATAATCGAAAACCTGATCTCAACCATCTATTCAGCACTTAAATACTGCTTTCAAATAGTTGAGAATAAATCTGTAAATTTCAATTTTGGTGGTTTCAATTGACTTGGCTCTCTGAGTTGAGTCAAATCGAATTCATCGCTGATGAGTTCCACCCCAAACCAGCGAAACGTTCGTCCGGTGTTTACATCACTTCGATCTGGTTATAACAACCATTATTGGCTGATGTCAGTAGCATACAGCTACTTATTTCATCAATCATTAGTATATAACTTTATGTAAAAATAGAGTGTTACTATTGTCGTTTGGTTTCTAGTAAGTTGTGAGGATAAATGTCAGCTGATTACACCAAACGGTAGCCATGTTATAATTCTAATTGATCCAATGGAAGATAGGATACACTGACTATCAGAATACAGTTCAACAGCAAGCAATACAACAGAATGACCAATGCTAACTAGATCTGGCAGTTTTGAGTTGAAATTCTCAAATGGATTATGGTTAAAAACTGATGTAAAATTTCAAATGAAGATAGAAGATAATCGTGACGTATTTCGCCTTTCATTATTTCCCTCAGTAATTATGATGAAATAAATCAAGACTACTTTGCAGTCATATTACGTTGATTGTATCTGTAACGACCAAATTTATTAGGTTGTGGTATGAATGCAAAACCGATCGCTACGTTCTACTATATAGCTGGCAAAAGTTCACTGAGACACTCGCTATCATGGAACTTTCCAAACTCAGTAGAAAGACAATTATTCTTCAATATTTTGGCGGTTCTGTGAAGCAGTAATAAAACCAAGACTCGAATTTACCTCAACAGTGCTGTGACGCAGCTACACAGGTGGTGTAGATTTCTAATTACAAAATAAGTACTGTTAGACAAAATTAGTTAACCAAAGTTCAGCTGTAAAGAGTACCTAAGAATCGAGTAGTATACTGTCAACGAGGTACGATTAAAAGTTCTGTCTACAAGAATCACACAACAATACTTCCCGCAGACAGTCCCCGGTCAGAATGACCTTCATTCACTGGAAAAAACTCATGTCGTTAGACAACACATTGTCAATGCAAACATAACCACCAAGAGAAGTATTACAGTTAAAGATTTAATAAGGCTAAAGGTAAATAATCAAAATCAACATGTCATATGCAAATGTCGAAAACGTATAATAATGACAGAGTTAAAGGATTTCGTCATGAGCTGACATTAGTTAGAGAACCATTGGAAAACTTGGGAGTACTGGCCAGCAGATCAAGTGTGAGGACAAATATTCGCCAGTGATATTGGCTAGTGGTCGCGCTATGTCGTGAATTAGCAGAAGCTGGAATCCACTGGCTGGTCATTTGGTCAGGTCCCAATGGCTTAGTGGTCTACGAGCTTGCCTTGTAGTCGTAAGGTCCTGGGTTAGAACCCCTATGGTGGGTGTGTACTGATGAAGAGTCCCAAATCAGAAAAAAGATAGCTGTCCAGTACTCTCAGGTTTTCCAGTACTTCTCTAACCGGTGTCAGCTCATGATGAAATCCTGTAACCAATCAATCAAATCCCTGCAAAGCAACACTTAAATCACAAAGTTGAAACGCTTAAATAGGTATAAATATTATAAGTAGATTGTCTAGGAGGAATTTTCGTAAACAATTTGTCCATTACAGTATCTTTTAGAAATAAGTGATGCTCTTACCATATTAAAAGAACACTCCATATATTCGATTCATTCACTGGTTAGTCATCATCTGATGATAGCTTAAATTTTCGTTTAGTTCCATAATCGTTTCTTCAACTGAATAATGTTAACCACATGTTCTTTACATTACAATAATGTAAGACTGAAAATAAGTCTTATGAAAATTAATAAATACATACTTATAATTTAAATTACGCAGATTGTTCTCATGTTTTTAAAACACGTTTAGCTAATTGTACACTAATTCTACTTAGCAAATGATCTTAACTTGTTGAATAATTGATTAGCAATCAGAATACCTTCAGGCATATTCAGTTATTCATATAAAAAAAAACCGTTTTGTAGATAGATAATTCAATTTAAAAGCACTTCCAAATGTTTTATTTACGGATGCGATCGAAGTGTTAAGGATGCTTGAGGGTCTGTTCTGTTGAGAAAAAAAACAGTGACTGAAGTTGCTCACTAATTTCACCATAATATTTTTCTCTCAGTATAATACAGAGATGTACGTTGAGCACAAAATGGTCAAAAGATTTGAACTTAACTGATTTACACAACGTGTTAAGACAGTGGTGTAAAGCTATCATGTGGCACGTTTCTTACCTGCTACTTAATACTGAGGTGTTTGAAATTTTTCCTGTATTGAACATCTGAAATATTTGTCGTTGAAAGGAAATGTAGAGGAACTAGAGTAAGTTATTTTAGCCTTACTGCTACTTAAACTACCTTAATGGCATGTTAGGATCTACAGAGTGCGACGGTGGCACAGCGGTAGAATGCCCGCCGACCATGCATGTGGTCCGGGGTTCGATTCCTGGCAGACGAACTCCTTTACCTCGCTTGCTAAGCCAGTAATAAGGCTGGTAAGGAGGGAAGGTTGGGCATGAGGCTAGCAATCCCATCCTGTAAAAATAAACACCACTGATACAGAAACTTCCAGTCTCTAGCTTGAAGCCCTATGTTCCACTGGGAACGTGAAGGAATAAAGAAAAGGATCTAAAGCCAAGTATAGCTTTCTGGATAATTATGTTAAGCATGTCGGATAACCACACCAGAGTGGCAGCCTTTGTAAAAGTCAGTTATTCACTTCCACTCTCTTAATCAGCTGAATATGAATTAGGGCGGGAAGAATTGATGTAGCAGTTAAACGAGATAGTAATGAACTAGAAAGACTGTGTCACTTATTTACGCAACAATCCAGAAATTTACATAAATAAGATCAGTATCTCGTAAGTGGTAATTAGGTTTTTTAGTCCGATATCCTGAGAATGTATCGTGTAATTCGGAAATGGATTATCCAAAGATAGAATCCATCAAGAGCCAACATCAACTTGAAAGAAACGCCGACAGTCAAGATGTATTTGACCTTATATTTTGTACTACTTTAGAATAGTGTTAAAGACTTAACTAAAGACCTTAGGGCTATGGGGGTAATATGCAGCCACTTGAATATTAGATCTGAATCCAATGATCTATTATTTAAAACTACTGTCATTTCATGACGTTTCGAGCATAAACTATTGCTCATAATCATATCAAGTTACTCACACAACTTCTTTCCTTCATTTATATACATGTGTGGAATCGACTAGATATTGGAATAAAATTCAATATGAGATAATGTACATTCAGAAATAATAGTACGAGTGTTATTAATCCATTGCAATTAGATGGGAAATACGACGAGTGTTTTTATAGTCATAATAAGTTGATTGTTAGAATGTGTTGATGTGTTTGAATGGAAATAGAATTTTAAGACTATTTATCATCTTCTTCTGATTTGACTGGTGGCAATAATACGAGTGTTATTAATCCATTGCAATTAGATGGGAAATACGACGAGTGTTTTTATAGTCATAATAAGTTGATTGTTAGAATGTGTTGATGTGTTTGAATGGAAATAGAATTTTAAGACTATTTATCATCTTCTTCTGATTTGACTGGCGGTAATAATATCTTCCATATTTCTGGTATTTGCATTGAGTCACTTCTGTTGCATGTGTTGGGTGTAGACTCGATGAATAAGGATTCCGTAATCAACCTCTCTTTCCACCTACCTATATTACGTTTTAGAATTTTAACCCTATCCCACCCTATTGTGTGGTTGTTTGTTATTGCGTGAAGTGCAATAGCTGAGCTTTTTTCTAAATTACTTATCTTTTCAGGGTCAATCATTTTCCCTTTAGCTAAATTCTTATGTTCTGATAATCTGACTATCCCTGACCTACTAGTTTGACCTATGTAGTTGACTTCACAGTCGTTGCAAGGTATTTTGTAAATTATATTATTTTGTTTAATTGGGTCCAACGGGTCCTTTAACCTACAAAGTTTGTCTCTGAGTGAGTTTGTTGGTTTGAATGCCACCCTAATTCCTGCTTTATTGAGAATCCTACGTAGGGCCTCAGATGTCCCCTCCTTATATGGTATAACAGTAGAAGACTTATATTCTCTCTTATTTGTGTTATTACTACTAGTTACACAATTATTTTTATTTTGTTTTTGGCCTTTGCTGATCTTCTTAATGAATTTTATAGGATAGTTATTCAACACCAACGCTTCTTCTATCTGTTTTATTTCGTCATTTAGGTCCTTTTTTGTGCTACTTAGTGCTATGGCTCGGTTTGTCAGACACTTAACCAAGCCTGCCTTAACAGTTAACGGGTGAGACGAATTAAAGTCTAAATATCTATTAGAATGCGTTGGTTTTCTATAAACACTAGTGTGTAGTTTGCCTTCTTCTATTCGTTTTATCTTACAATCTAACATGGTTAATTCTCCTTGTTCATTTTCTGATTCAAATGTGAATTTTATTCCTTCTACTTGTGAGTTTATATGTGTTAAGAAGCTAGAGATATGTTCTGTTTTTAACACTGTGAATGTGTCATCTACATATCTCCACCATATTTTTGGCCTAGGATTAAATGTATTGAGAGCACTATTTTCCCAGCTGTCCATAAAGATGTCTGCTACAATAGGGGATATTGGTGATCCCATTGCTACACCTTCTGTTTGCCTATATATTCTGCCTTGGAACTTGAAGATAGTAGATGTGAGGCATAGCTGAATCCCTAAAATAATTTCTTCAATGGACAGCTTTGTCCTATGATTGAGTTCAGTATCCGCAGTTAGTTCTTTTTTAACTGCTTCTAAGGCCATATTGACTGGTATATTAGTATAAAGACTGGTTATATCAAAACTGACCATTGTTTCGTCATTCGCTAGTTGAATGTCATTTAGTTTACTTTTCATCTCATATGAATTAGTTAATCTAGAGTTTGAATTATTTCTGATAGGGCATAGTATTAAAGCTAAGTGTTTTGATAATTCATAAGTTGGGGTATTTCTAAAATCTACTATTGGCCTTATTGGGTATCCTGGCTTATGTATTTTAATAGTACCTTATTCATCCTTATTCATCGAGTCTACACCCAACACATGCAACAGAAGTGACTCAATGCAAATACCAGAAATATGGAAGATATTATTACCGCCAGTCAAATCAGAAGAAGATGATAAATAGTCTTAAAATTCTATTTCCATTCAAACACATCAACACATTCTAACAATCAACTTATTATGACTATAAAAACACTCGTCGTATTTCCCATCTAATTGCAATGGATTAATAACACTCGTATTATTGCCACCAGTCAAATCAGAAGAAGATGATAAATAGTCTTAAAATTCTATTTCCATTCAAACACATCAACACATTCTAACAATCAACTTATTATGACTATAAAAACACTCGTCGTATTTCCCATCTAATTGCAATGGATTAATAACACTCGTACTATTATTTCTGAATGTACATTATCTCATATTGAATTTTATTCCAATATCTAGTCGATTCCACACATGTATATAAATGAAGGAAAGAAGTTGTGTGAGTAACTTGATATGATTATGAGCAATAGTTTATGCTCGAAACGTCATCAGTTAATATAACTGTACTACACTGTGTGATTTATCAAAATAAAATCTTATCCATTATGGAATTATACTCTACCACAGTGCCCAAGTTTTATACTTATATGTCATTTCATGATATACCGCCAATGCAGTTCCAAGACATGAGTAAATATCTTATGTTCAACTTGATTGTATACTTCTCATAAGAGTTAAATCCATTGGCGGCTATCGAGAGGGTTGTAATAATACGCTGGTATCTTATGTTCAATAATCGTTTATTTATTCTAATAACATTCTGTTTTGACCCACCATTACTTTCTTGTCTTAATGCGTGAGGTGTTCAGGGGTGGAATGCTTGCCAACCACACACGTGGTCAGGGTTCGATCCCTGGTCGACACACTTCTAAACCTCTCTTAGGCAAGTAGTAAGCCCGGTTCAGAGGGAAGGTTGTGTTTGAGGCTAGTGATCCCTCCCCACCAGCCGTAAAAACGACACAACTGCTACTGGAATTTCAAGTCTGAAGCTTGAATCCGTATGTACCAATGGGAACGCAAAAGAATTAAATAAATAATGATAATTTTTGATCGCTTTCACACTATCCTCCTCTTTCAATACTGAACTTTAATACAGGCTTAATATTCTTTTTTTCCTATAGGCGAAAAAGTAGAAAAACTTAGTCGAAGTTTATCACCTAGTACTTTAATCGGGATTGAAATGGAACGTCGTCCACCTACAAATCTTCCAGGACCTATTAAAATGGCATTTGGTCGTGCTGCTCCTGGTTATTATGCTCAAAGATATCCAAGTAAGATTTATATTATAGAATATTTTCCAAACTTAATTGAAAACATTATGTTTTGTTGGCCAAGTTAGAATATAAGCACCAGTAAGTACCACTAGTGGAGTGCGACCGCATCAATGACCTTGAAACGCTCGGGGAACAAGTTATTAGAACCTGGCAAATAATATTGTAGGCATGAATAAAATATGCTTAATGAAGTGTTGTGTTAATAAATAGGATATCTGGCAGGTTTCAGGTTAGGTTTGGGAAAAATTACGTTAAGGTTCAGTCTAAGGACAGGTTAGGGTTAGGTTGACCTAATGAAGGTGACATTAAGGTTGGTTCGAGTTAGATTACGGTTATTTTAGGGATATTTTCACGTTAGGGTTAGAAGACCCAGGTAATTGCATGTACACAATGTGGTTAAATTACTCTGTTCCTGCTCCAATCGAAAATTGATAGGTATTTTTAACACACTTCGGAGAAAGGTATCCCGTGTAACAGTTTCACGCCCTCAAATTCATAATTTTTGCATTTTACACGCAAAAATAGCTTATATCATACGATTTGTGCGTTCAAGGTCATTTGTCCGTTGACACTTACTTGTGCTTAAAGTTTAACTTCGCCGTTTCGTTTATTGCATAAATGAAGAATAGTAGACCAAATTTTTAAACAAATTCACTTTCATTAGTGCTGTAATCTGTTCCCGAAACTGATCAAAGTGCACATAGACTCCTATTCAGTGTCAAACGTAACTAAACATTTATAAAGTGAGTACTTTTAGTTTTCAAAGGAAACTCACGATATGATCTTAACTTGAATTATGTGTTTTGAAAACACTTGACTTGTGTGATAGGGCAATTTTTCATACTTAATGTAATCATACCCTTCACTGTGTGATTATTCATTGCATAACATTGTCCAGTTGTTTTAATTACATGTTACCAAGGCATTTATTGCTATCTTACTGAACTGATTCTCACGTAAGACCTACAAATAATGACAATTAGTGACATAGATAACAGACCAAGCGTTTATTGACCAAATGAGGCAATATATCAGGTAAGCGTGTATTCATTTAGTAAATCGGGCGTCTGAACAAAAAACAGGCAGCTGTAAATAATTGGAAACATTTATTTCCCGATACGAATTTAAAACAAGCAATAAAGGTTAATAAAGCAGGATTTAATGAATTCATCAAATTTTGGTAGAACTCGTCAGCTGAATACTCTACATACACGGATGTATATATACTTTTGAAATTACATTGGGAGATATAAGACTGATAAATAAACAAACTACATTGAATTAGTCATGCAGAAAGACAGGTGGGAATGTTTTTCCAGGTCATGTTCAAATAGATAAGGGGAGAGAGAGTATGAGAGATCAAAATTAAAATAAATTGCATTACGCTTCAATTATATCACTTAGATAAACAATTAGACATTAGAGAATATGACAAGAATTGCAAACAGAGTGATGTCAGTAGTAGTAGTTATAATTTTACGAGTTGATCACGGACTGATATCAGTTAGAGAACCATTGAAAACCAGGAATCACGCCAACTAGAGTACGATTCACAGTTTACACATAAAATATTCTATAGTTTGGTTTGCAAGGGTTAGTTTTGTTTGTTTGGGTTCAAACCCTGGTGGGTGCGTACTGCCGATGATTCCCAAACTAGGATGAAACAGCTGTCCAGTACTCCCTGGTTTTCAATGGTTCTCTAACTGATATCAGTCCGTGATCAACTCGTAAAACATAACTAATCCTTACAAACCAAACTATAGTAGTTATAATAATAATAATGTTGAAGTGAGTCAAGATAATCCTACTGATAAAGGATAGTTTTAAATGAATCAAGAATAGTAATAATGAGAATAATAATAACAAGAGGTAGAATTATAAGTAAAACGTATTACCATGGTAGATTCAGAGTCACGACCATCTCCTTTTGTACACATGAATTTGATGAATTCATTAAATACTGCTTTATTAACCTTTATTGCTTGTTTTAAAGCTGTAAATAACTTTATTTCAAAAAATGGAACCTATTGTTTTCAGTATCTTAGTCACACTTTAGTCAACAGTTTCAACATATATGAAATATAAAATATATGAGGTTTGAAAATATAAATTACATTCATTCAACAGAGTGGCCATACTATAGTGTGCAGAAAAATAATAGTGAACTAATTTATTCTAATAGATCTCAACACTTTTTGAAGTAACTTTAGATTCCTGTCAAAGTACTGGTTCCTCCGAAATTGTAAATTATGCCCTTGGTAATGAACATCAGCTTAAAATCGAATCAGGCTGGCAATGGCTTCTTGTCAAATAAATGTAATTATTTTGAATAAAGCATGAACAACAAGCATGGTACTATCGTTTGTTTCGTTGGCTTTTCATCAACTGCGTACTATCTAAATAAATGAATGCATGTATATATGCAAATGTTACATGATGTCAGTTGACAGGAGACTTCAAATTGAATAAACAGTGCCCAGATATTTCACCTGTAATCACTTGCACACAGAAGATTCAAGCTTTAACAGTTCTTGGTTTCTCCAAATTCTCAGAGTACAAAAAGTGTGTGATATCTAGTTATTTTTAGATGGTTGAAGACAGTCGGCAAGAAGCCTTGGGTTTAGGTTATTGCGTCATCTGTGATGTGCGCCTATAACTATGAAAGTACTGATATCCCCTCTGTGGTTCGAACCCGTGTCACCCAGTGATACCGTGGTCCGAGACGTTACCACTAACCTCTTCCAGCAATATTAGATTACATTCTACTGTATCAATGAGTTTATCCGCTATTTGAACGACTATGATGCAAGCATGATAGGTTAAATCCAGTCACCAGTTAAGAATCAACGATATAGCCGTATCTGGTGCCCATTCTATAAACTGTCGATCTTGGCCTCGCTTTCGACATTTGTTTTCATTGGCGAATTTAACTACTAAAAATCTTTTCAGTAGTATGAAGATAAAAGATCATTATGTGTGTCGAAATCAATTTGTTGATAGAAAATGAACTAAAAATATTTCACACCTATTTGCTTGTTATCTATTTGTATATATCTGTTGACACGAAATTAAATAATACATTTGACATGGATTCAAAAGTAATAAGTAATCACAAAACTATTGAATTAAATTTGGACTTTTCCGTTGATTAATTGGACCGAAGTGTTCAGCTTCCGTCGACATATCGGCTCATTATGAGAATGCTTCAACGATGTCTAAAGTACATCTAGATGACGAGTCATAGATAAGATGAAATGCGCATCCTGGATTCTACTGCTAGTCACCATCCACGAAATTAATCACAAAACTATTGTTGTTAGTGGATCATGTACTAAATATTCAATACCTAGGTGTCGAGAATTTGCAAAAACATATATAACTCTGACACTTTACAAAACTCCTGACAATTTTCAGCCTTAAAATAATTGAAATACTGTTATTACTCCCTTGCGTTCCAATGGGAACATAGGGCTTCAACAACACATCTAAACTTTTCCTATTTCGTGGTGTCCTCTTTAACTGGCCCCCGATTCCCCATAATCTCTCACCTCCTCCTCTATCTCATCCTCGCACCGACGAATTACTCGTCGCTTCCCATTGGGATCCCACTCGAGTGATGGCCTGCACTATGCGCGATCTCATTCGATGACCTACTCAGTGTATGCCCGATGCATCTCTATTTTCTCCTACATATTTGTTGAGCGATTAGCTCTCGCCTGTTGGTTTGTTCCCAGTCAGCCAGAGTTTCTTGGTGCTAATTCTTTCTGTCCGACCGGTCATTTGATCTTCAGTATGGAGCCAGCCAGAGAAGGAGGCAGCTGTTGATAGAAATTTGCATTGGCCTGCTGGAAATGCTTTTCGTGACACGCAGTGCAAGTTTCTGACTCGTATAGAAGAAATGAGTGACTGACTAACTTCACATTTGTGTTGAAAATCTGAATCTTGTTTTTCATGCTGGCTGGCTGAGTGCAGTGAGGAAGATTTCCAAACTGGTTTCAGGTTGATGAAGGAGTATCTTGCCTCTCCGATGCTGACTTTGACATCTTCATCCGTTCCGGCTTCCTGTAGGTGAAATGATGCTTCCTTGTCAAATAATTGAAGGAAGTAACCTCTTCCAAATCTCTCCCGTTGATGGTGACTGGTACTGATTGTTGCTGTCGTTGTTTTTTGGTTATCTTCATCATCTCCGTCTTCTCTATGTTCACCTGGAGTCCTGTCTTCGCCGCCAGCCTATTCAGCTGGTTTGTTGGTTTTCCCCTGCAAGTTTTAGAGTTTGTGTGACATTAGACATGTATCATCTGTGAAATCCAGATCTTCAGGAGTCTTCTTACCAGTGGTCCAGAGTAATTGAAGTATGCTACTCCTTTTCTAATGTATTGACAGATAAGGTTTAAAAGAATAGGAAAGTTACAGTTTTACATATATTTTAATAAATTAAAAGTTAATTAATACACAATTTATCACTAGTAAACTTTTTGAATTATTGTTCATTTCCATCATCTTTTTTAACATTTCATTTTAGACGAAGAGACATGGTTTAATTCAAATGTATTGCATAATCGTGTATCAATACCCAGATTTGGTTCACCATCACGTACACTGGACGACTATGAAGTATGCGATACAAGATTAAAACAGTATTTATCTGAATTGAACGAGTTAACAGAATATCAGGATAAATATTTAGCACATACGCCATCAGTTAAAAAACCAGTCAGATATTATTAGTTTCAGAAAAAAAAAAAAAAAACAAACGTATAATTATTTTTATTTTTATAATGCATAAATAGTTAATCCAGAGAAATATTTAATTTCTGTTAAAACACATTATAGCTTATGTAAATAGTCTAACGCAAAAAGAGAAACATTGATCAATTTTCAAGTGTCTTTTGTTTAACTGCACATAAATCAAGCGTAAAATATTTAAACATGTTTTTTCCCCATGAAGTTAAATGATTCATAGACAATATTTACCTGAATATCTAACGAAAAACTGTCCAGTTTATTAACGTCCACCATACTTTGACACTGAATTGTGAAAATATATGATGACTGAAAAACTTCAATCATTATTATACTGAATCGACTGACAGTCCAAGACTATACCACATCCATGTATATCGTTCAAAATGAAGGTTGGTGAAGTTCAACAATAGCGTCCCAGGAGTGCGAACGCTCCAATGACCTTGAACGCATGCTAGTCGTTGGCTGACAACACCTGTCATTCTCATAACTGAAATATCAAAGCTATTCATCAACTAAGCAGCAAATTCCACTCAGATCACGTCTTCAAGTACTGTTTGGACAGTGTGTTCATAGCTCGTTAGGGTTAGGATTTGAGTGAAGGTAAGTATTGGGATTAGGGTTAGGATCAGGGTTATAATTATGATTAGGGTTAGAATTACGGTTAGGGTTGCGATTAAGGATAGATGCAGAGTTGATGTCATTTATTTTACTTTGTTTCCTTATCCACATTTTCCTGGTAAGTAGTCGTCGATCCTCTTACTGGACACCATAGTAATTCAACCGAGGGCTTTGGGGAGAACTGCACAACAGGATAAGAGAAATGAACGATTCACAAAAACAGCTCATCTTTAGTCACCTTGGTGAATATATGTACAGAAACTAGTCTAACTTACCAACTGATACTACTCATTATAACTGGGACACATTTTAAAGAGAAGGGTTACCTGTTTAATGTGCCTTCATGCATTTTCTTGTAAATATACGTCATTTTTTGTGCAAAAGTCACTTATTTTTGTGATTGGTCGGCTGAAGGTCACCCGTGCATTCACATCCCCTGGGACACTATTGTTGAACTTTGTCTGAAGGTCAATATGAAATCGCTACGAACAACAACAACAACGTATTATACCAAAGTATCTGCATCTGTATAATGTTTGTTAAATTACAGAATTCAGACGTGTAAGTTCAAGTTAAAGCATAAAAAGAAAAAAAATTATTGGCCAGGACATGTTCTAGAGGTAAGGCCGTCGCAACACAACCAATTTGTCAATGAACTCGGCTATTAGGTTGAAATTGATTGTCTTCTGTGCAATGTAGAGTAAAAGTTATTTCATCTGTCTGCCTGACACACACGCTGTCAGTTGTGTCAATTCCTGGATAACTTGTGTATTGTATGACAGCATAATTTTGCTAAAAATGTCGAAATTGTCTACTTTTTAGGAAAATCCTGAGACACCGCTGGAAAATGTCTCCGAGTAATTGACTGTAGTCAGAGATTCACCTTCAGTTATGAAAAACAACAAATCGAAAAGAGGTACCCAACTGTTCAGCATAAAGTCTTTATTTCTATCTTATACAATACAGAAGTCATTATTAGAATGAAATACTCAACAAAAAATGTGTGCATACCATGACACTTGTGTCAGAAGTTCATTTAGCTAATCAAAACTTGAGAAGTGCCCTGTTGATTTCTCCATCAATTGCATTCAACTGCACTTTAACTTACTGAGTTGATTTAAACTTTACCAACAACTAATTCTCAGGCTGTTATATATATAACCTCACAGGCTAACAATAATCGTTTTATTTTACCTACTCTTGTAATTTGTTCTACATCCATTGAACCTTTATTTTGTTGTTGTAATAAATGTGGATGGTTAATGGATTAGGCTGGAAGTTGTGATGTTTGACTCTTTCAATACTTCTAATTTGAGATCTCCTAATTTACTGTATTTTCTGTACTATTGTTTCAACATTTATAACCATTGTAATTTAAGACAATCTGAGGAAGATTGTTTTGATAATAAATATTTATACAACATTAAATAGCATAGTGAGTCGGTGGCACAGCGGTAGAATGCTCGCTAACCACAAGAGTGGTTCGGGGTTCAATCCCCTGTCAACACACTCCTTTACCTCGCTAGCCAAGCCGATAATACGACCGGTGGAGAGGGAAGGTTGGGTATGAGGCTGGCAACACTATCCCGTAAAAATAAATACAATTGCTACCGAAACTTGGTAGCTCCTGCTTGAAGCCTCATGTTCCACTGGGAACGTTAAGGAAAAAAATAATAATGTAATTATCTGAGAAGAAAACCGTCATTAAAGTTCTCAACACACCGTGACAATATAATTAACTGACATTCAATGAAGATATCTAGGAATCCTGTTGTATACAGGGAGAATATGGTGACATTGGATGCGCTTCCAGGAAGGCAACAAGTCCCTTTTTTGGATTATCATGTTACGGCTTTTATTCGAGTTTAGTGAATTATGATATTAGCTGGGTAGTCATAATCACAGCTACCGAAACTTCATGGCTCTAGCTTGAAGCCCTATATTCCACTGGGAACGTAAGGACTATTGAACTATTCGGACTCTTTATTGGCTGAACATTCCCTAGCACATGACCTAAGAAGCCATAAAATGATAAAGTGAAATATCAGCTAGGCTCTTTCATCATCATCACGCATAAAGCTATTAGAATAAACACATTAGTGACTTCCCTAGTCATCTATCTGATCTATTCACCTTCGTATTTAGGCAATAATGTTCTCCAAAAGTTCATAACCTGATAAGCGTTATACAACTAGGTTGCATTACGTTATGATTGAAATATAAGTATTAGTAGGATTGTGGCTAAAATCTATGGTTTTGTTAATTATAAAAACATATCAGTTCACAGTATTATTCAATAAGGCGAATTAGATAAGAATTTAAATACCTTACTGTCTATCACTTCCGATGTACTTGAAGACAAAAACTACACAATTAAATTATCATCAAATTAACATACTTCCCTCAGATAATATCTTCAATATGAAAAAATTACTTTAAGAATCCACTCGTATGAGTCCACACTTATAATGTCCTTTGATTCTCAGAGCGTTTCTATCACAAATTTATTAATGATTCTGTTTTGTTGGTTTAAACTATTTCCACCGAAATCGATTCGTTATAGTCTGAAAGCAGAAAACTGATCTCTACGTCCTACTATATAGCTAACAAAATCTCCTTGAGACATGCTCAGTCACGAAATGCTCCAAAGACAGGAGAAAGATGCGCCATTTGGCATATTTTGAAGTTCAGGTTTCTGCATCACTTTAGTCTGCATATCCTGATGCATACAAGCAAAATTATTTATCCCAGAGACTTTGGTTACACTGGTACTCCAGGTATCCCTCAGAGTTTCTCTCACACTACTGATCATTGAAGATATAACAGCTTTTTTTACCTTTGGAGGCTGTTGTTGTTCCAAAATCTCCAAGTGTGAGTAGTGAAACCATCATTAAGCTCGAGCTGTTTTATAGTGTCTTCATTCTTTAGAATCATTCCTCCAAAAATAAGGGTTGACCTTTCCGACGCAATTTTAGACGTAGTTCTTCAGTTGAATACGAACTGGGTACGGAATCGGTTTTCATTTCCTCAGAGGCTTTTGTTCGTATATTGGAAGTAGACATCAAAGACGACACTGTTTGAATTAAAGGGTCATATAATCCCCCATCATCGTCGAACAGGTTCAAAAGGCTCAGCTATCCATGTAAAAATCTCATTTCAGCTTCTTTTTCAGCCTGAAGATGACGAAATTCCTTTTTGACTATCTGTCTAACCACATTTATGACTACTCATCTAACATCATCACTCACTAAACTGGAATAAGAGCCGTAACATGATAATCCAAAAAAGGAATTGTCGCCTTCATGGAGGTGCATCCAATTTCACCATATTCTCCCCGTATACAACAGTATTCCTAGATAACTTCATTGAACCTCAGTCAATTACATTGTCACAGTGTGTTGAGAACTTTAAAGACTATTTTCTTCCCTGATAATTGCATTATAATTTTATTCCTTAACGTTCTTAGTGGAACATGGGATTTCAAGCTGGAGCTCTGAAGTTTCGGTAGCAGTGGTATTTATTTTTACGGGATAGTGTTGCTAGCCTCATACCCAACCTTCCCTCTTTACCAGTCTTATTACTGATTGGTTTTAGCGAGGTAAAGGAGTGCGCTGGTGGGATTGAACCCCGAATCGCCTGTATGTTTGGTGAGCATTATACCACTGTGCCACCGACGCACACTAGTCAGCACTCACCAGTCAGCAAACCGTATCTGCAACCTTGAAGGAACTCATGTCCCGTCTGGGATTCGAACCCGTATCACCCAGTGCTGCAGTCACAGACGTTACCACTGAGCTAGTGAATATCAATAGAGGCTGGGAATAACTCAGACATTACTTAAGGGACATGAGTCACTGATTGTCACCATACTTACCAATTCGTATTATAGCCATTTCTGGTTGGGATACCCTAAAGTCTGAATTATTTAACAAGTGTAACGCCATCTCATCTTCAAAATGAACACCATTTTCATGCATGCTTAGAGAAGTAGACTGAAGTTTTCTCTCTCTCCCCACCCATCTACCTATATTACTCTTCAGAATTTTAACCCTCTCCAACCCACCCTATTGTGTGGTTGTGTGTTAATCCATGCACAACAATTGATGACCTTTCTTCTAAATTACTCATCTTCACAGGGTCAATCATTCTAACCTCAACTAAATTCTTATGTTCTGATAATCTCACTACACCCGATATACTAGTTTGACTGACCTATGCAGTTGACCTAACTCACAGTCAGTGCAAGGTATTTTGGAAATTATATTATTCTGTCGAAATTGGTCAACCTACAGAGCCATTTAGCCTACACAGCTTGATCTACCTGAGTAGTGAGTTTGTAGGTTTGCATGTCAACCTAATTCCTGATTTACTGACAATTCTACGTAGGGTCTCATATATCCCGTCCTTATATGGTATAGCAGTAGGTGCCTTGCATTCTCTCCGATTTATGTCATCATTATTAGCTTCACCATTATTTTTGTTTTCCTTTTGACCTCTTCTGATCTGCG